GGGGCGCGGGCCGACACGGCTCCCCCCACGCGGGAGGCGGGCCGAGCGCGCGGGGCCGGGGCGGGGCCGGGGCGGGGGCGGGGCCCGAGGTCTCGAATCGCCGCGCCCCGCAGGCCAGGGGAGGGGCCTGGGCGCGCGGGGCCGCCCGCTGGGCCGGAGTGGGCGTCGGTCCCGGCACCTCCTTCCCTGGCTTCGCCGGTTCCCCAGCTCCCGCGTGGGCTCACCTCCTCTGGGATCGCAAACGCGTGGCTCCGCGGTGCGGAGGTGTCTGCAAGCCGACCTCCCTTCTGCGCGCCGCCTGGCGTTCGGGGGGTGGGGAAACTCGGCACCTTCCCGGGACCCAGGCGCACAGGGAATGCCTGAGCTGCCAGCCGCGCCGAGTTGAGAGATTGCATAAGTGCGCAGGCCCCTGCTTTTGTCGCCACCCTGGAGGCAGCACCTACGGGGCAAAGGCTCACCCCCTTGACCGGCATCAGAGGCCCTCACAGCCGCCTTTCCTTCCTCCTCGCCCTCTCCTCTCAAGATCCTCACTCCGGCCTCCACTAGAACCGTGGTTCTCCAATTCTAGGTGCGTCAGAACCCCCCGGGGGACTGGATAAAACACTGCTGGTCGCACCCCCGAGTGTCCGCTTGGGAAGGTCGGGAGTGGGGCCCGGGAATTAGAATTTTCAGCCAATTCCCAGGCGATGGCGATGCTGCTCATGTCTTGGCCAAGTTCGAGCAGCTGTCCCTCACCGCCTTCCCTAGAGCGGCATCCTCCCCAGGAGCTTCCCCAGCACTGACCACACATCTGGCTGTGATCTCTCCGGGGCTATTCACCGTGGAATCCTTGGCTGCTGGACATTGGACACACAGCAATGCTCGATACATGTTGCGAAAGAAAGAGCCGGCGAGGCCCAACTTCCCGTTTAACCTGCTGACCCTGTAGTTTTTCGAGAGCCTGGCATGTCCAAGCTCTGCGTAGACAGGTCTGAGCCCCTGCAGCCCCTCTCCGAACCCGGCAGGTGCGTGGAGAGAAGGCATGAGAGAAGAGGGAAATCGGTGCCCACCTAACGCAAGGGGCATGCCCAGCTGAGGGAAGCCAAGCAATGTGAGAAGGAAGTAGTAAGAAGAGCAAAACCAAGACTGAAGATTTAAAATGAAGACTTTAAGAACCATTAGCGAGAGGTCTAGAAAAAAAAAATGGCTTTAACAAAAAAGTTTGAAAGCAATGATGAAGGGGTTGGGGAGTTGCCAGGAGATTAGCTTGGCGAGCGACTTCTAAGCTGTGATGAGTACAGGAGATCCAGTTTTTTGATGGGGCACTGAAATAAAACTTCCTTTAATGTCTCCTGCCCCGTTGGCATTTGTAATCATTGCATTCGTCAGTCTTAGTTAAATGGGAGGATTATAAACAATGTTTCAGATGACAGTTTGGCTACTGAAGAGAACCTACCCTGCAAGCGTTTTGGAAAACATCAGTTGACATGCCAGCAATTGATATGCTAATTAAATATCGATCTTTGATCTTCTGTGCTCATTAAATGAGGTCCCCTGGGGACCTCTACGTGCCAGTACTTCCCCCTCCCCCCATGAAAATAGCTTTGTTTTCCACAGATTATATAAATAATATTTACTCATGATATAACCTTTAAAACACAGAAAAAAATATAAGGAAAAAAGTAAGTCACCTGCAATTCCACCCCCTGAGATAACCATCATTAATATTCTGGTGACCACCCTTCCCCCCATCTCTATGCGCATAATTTTGCATGGATGGAGTCACATTATACACATGGTTTTTAAGTATAGAGACTTATTTTTAAGTAGTGTTTCTCTCCCCTCCCTCTCCATGTTAACAGCCTGTCTAGCTTGCTTGCTTCCTTAGTAACTTCCTTCCTTCCACCACTCTATCTAACAATTCACACACACACACTCAGAAGTTTTATATTTTGAGGGGTTGGGTGTTATTATATTTAAAAAGTTGAATCATGCCCGGCTGGCATGGCTCAGTGGTTGAGCATCGACCTATGAATCAGGAGGTCACGGTTAGATTCCCAGTCAGAGCACATGCCCAGGTTGTGGGTTCGATCCCAGTACGGGATGTGCAGGAGGCAGCCAATCAATGATTCTCTCTCATCATTTATGTTTCTATCTCTCTCTCCCTCTCCCTTCCTCTCTAAAATCAATAAAAAATATACATATATATATATATTTTAAAAGTTGGATCATATTAACATACAATATTCTCCACCTTGCTGTTCTCCTTTAACTGTGAGTACATAGTAGAAATCCCACCATGTTGGGGTGCAGGCCTAACTCAGTCTTTTTACTAGTAATGGCCTTCACTCACTTGGTTTCCCGATTGCCACCACTACCAGGTTATGGTAACATGGTTCTAGCCAGATCCCAATGAATTGCTGCCTTTATTTCCATGGTAGTTTCCCAGGAATGGTTTTATTAGGAAAAGGGAATTTTTTTTTATTGTAATTCACATTTCCAACAGCCATGTATGAGCGTATTTCCAAGCACGCCTTTCATCAGCAGGTGTGATCACTATTTTTAATTTTTGCTCCTCTGCCAGGTGAGAAGTGACCTTCTTGGTTTTTTCAATTTGCAGTTCTCTGCTGGGGAGTGTCTGTTAATTGGTTTCTTGCCTGGATTTGCTCTTGCCAGAATTGCCTCTTCACCATCTTCATGAATTTATCTACTGCTGTTACATTATATGTCTTTCTCTTATTGATTTTAAGAGTTTTTTTTTTATTCTTTTAAATTTTCTCTCAATTTATCACTGCACTTTGATGTAAGACCTTTCTAAAATTTTTTATTTATTTATTTATTTATTTATTTTATTTTTTACAGAGAGGAAGGGAGAGGGATAGAGAGTCAGAAACATCGATGAGAGAGAAACATCGACCAGCTGCCTCCTGCACACCTCCTACTGGGGATGTGCCCGCAACCAAAGTACATGCCCTTGACCGGAATCGAACCTGGGACCCTTCAGTCCGCAGGCTGACGCTCTATCCACTGAGCCAAACCGGTTTTGGCCTAAAATTTTTAATTTGAGGGGAAATCAAATGTGTTCCTCTTGTTTTATGACTTACCGCTTTCTGTTCTGGTTCAGTAGATCTCCTGATGTTGGAATAAGTATATGGTCTTGAGACATGAGTGTGAACTGTTGCGTTTGTTGTCCATGAATGAATTCAGGGACAAGGGAGGGGTAAGCAAAAGGGAAGCGAAATTTACTACAGCGGAAGTAACAAAGCTCTCAGCATGCCAGAGGGGTCCCCGAAAAGGGTTGCCGCAGAAGCTCGCTAGTCTAGGGGTTTAAATTTCCTGCATTTGCCTTCTACTGGCTCTTTCAAAAAACACCAGCCAATCTCCTGTTGCCTTCATCTCCCCACTTTTAGTTCCCGCTCTTGGGTTCAGGGGCAGGGCAGCCCTGTGGCTGACTGGGACATTCTGCCTGTCTTGCTCACATCCTGACCATCGGCTCATGTCCTCCTTATCTACCATCTTCTCTTCCCGAGGCCCTTACCCTAAACTGCCTGATCCCATCTAATCCTCAGCCTGTATTTTCTCCCACAATTTTTATTTTACAGCTTTACATGGAAGCCTTCAGTGCACCTGGAACTTGTTTTTGTGTATGCTATGAAGGAGAGGTGCGGGGGTCTTTATGGAACACGTGTTCCCAGCCACTCTAGCAGTCTCCATTTAGACTGAACTATTTTTTAAAAACGCCTTTGTTATTGAGGTATCACATGAATAGACTGATTGAGATTTGACCCCAGAAAATACTAGGTTCGTTGCTCCCCACTGTCTCCTCTCCTCCTCAGGTTCCCCTGTAATTGTCACTGCACTCCCCCTCCCTTTTTATCATAGAAAATCTTGAAAATGCAAAATGGCTCCTCAGAAAATCAGAACAGGAAAGCATTTGTTTTTTTTAGGTTGAAGTGGGCTGCCTTTTGATGCGTCCTTTCTCGTGTGAAGGCATTGTCCTTGGCGTCTTAGGCTTAAGAGCTACTTTATGAGACGTGGATGCTGAATGTTTTCAAATGCGTTTTCAGCAGCTTGAGTGTACACGCGGCTCAGGACCAGAGGACATGAAGGCCAAGCCCTGCAGTGAAGCCCAAGCCTGTGCCTCCACGCTTCTCCCCTGGCTCCGTCCTCTCACCTTTACCTGGTTGCTGCTTTTCTGTCCTCTTCTTTGGAGTGGGCTGTCTGCTGGGCTTCATGCTGCCTTGACCCCTAGACACCACCTTTGGGACACCCTCTGCCAGTCCACACCCAACCCAGCTCTGGATCCCTGGCCTCTGCTGTTTAGGAAGTTAAGTTCCAACATCTATTGAAATGATCACATGGGTTTTTCTAATGTGACCTATTGAAATGATGGGTTATTTTTTAAAAATAATTTTTATATATTAAAACCTTTTTGAAACCCTAAGAGTACATGTAACTTGGTAATAGTAGTTTTTTTTTTAAATTGTAGTATAGGTTGAATTGGACTTGCTGGTATTTTTTTAAAAAATATTTTTTATTGATTTCAGAGAGGAAGGGAGAGGGAGAGAGAGAGTCAGAAACATCAATGATGAGAATCATTGATTGGCCACCTCCTGCACACCCCCTACTGGGGATCGAGCCTGCAACCCGGGCATGTGCCCTTGACCAGAATCAAACACGGGACCCTTCAGTCCGCAGGCCAACGCTCTATCCACGAAGCCAAACCAGCTAAGGCAGACTTGCTAGTATTTTATTCGGGACTTTTATATCAATGTTTATAGTAGAGATCAACCTACATCAGAGCTGCAAACTGGTGACATGGACTTGTTTCTTTTACCAGCCCAGAATCTGATTTGGTTTTCCTGATGACGGGGTACACACTCTCCAGTTCCTGTAGCTGCCATTTCCCCATTTTATGCCCAATTGACTTCATCCTTTTATAATACTTTTCTGGCTCTTGTAGACACTTGTGTTTGCAAATCCTGGTCTATGATTTCCTTTTTTTTTTTTTTTTTTTTTTTTTTTTGGTAGATTTGAGAATTAGAGTTATACCGTTTTTACAACCCAAATTGAGGAGCATTCTTTTTTTCTTCTGTGTTTTGAAATAATTTATAAACAATAGACACCGCTGTTCCTTAAACATTAGAAAAGCCTGCCAGCAAAAGCACCTAACCTTGAAGTCCTTTAGGGAGCTAAATTTTGGTAACTTCTATTTTTCCCTTCTTCTCTTGGTTGTTGGTCTATTCAGAATTGTGTGCTTCTTTCTTGGGGTCAATATTGAAATGTATGAATCTTTTTCTGGAGAAGAATTTAAACACTTGACTACATCTCTCTGTTTTTCTTTCTCAGTTATTTTGTTTATATTGTATGTCAACAGTATGAATTGTTCCCAAAACAAAAAGGTCAGATCTTGTGTATTTTTCTATTCAGCCTGCTGAGAGCCCTTATGCAGTATTAGCTTTCTCTTTGAGATGTGTTGTATGTGCCCTGACTG